GCAGCTGAAAATGGTGAGCAGATGTACATGGTGAGGGTTCAAAGCCACAGTCAGTGTGGTCGCTTAAGCCGGGGTGCGATCTCCTGAGGTGTTGTGAGCCTCTGGCCGGAACCTAACCCTAACCCTAAACTTCAGGTCCAATTTTGTTGTCCCCTATGGTGTCGCCGACATGAACGAATTCAGAGCGTATCACACGCACACTCACAGGTATACCCAGGCTTGGAACTGGAACCACCGAACAATCCCCTTCTCCCAGCAAGCAAGCCTTCGGTTGCCGTTGGTAACGTGCACCTTGGCCAGAAGAAAGGTCACCAGACTAGCCTGTGGTGAGCAAAGATAGAAGTACGGATGAAAATAATGAAAGAGAATCCTTGCGTCAGTACCCAACCTGTCTGATACCGAATTCCCCCAGGCAGAGCATGTGTCGAGCTTTTTTTTGGTTTGAAGATGGTGATCGTTTCTACACTATACGTATGTACTTCGTACCTCTACTGTAAAAAACACGGCACGGACGGCAGTCAAATTGTACGAGACGGTTGAAACCACGTAAGAACACTTGTTGCCACACTCACGTACGTACGTCAAAAGCCACGAGGGTTAGAGTTTATGATGTGCGAAGAATAGGATGTTTCAGAGCCAACGACAGGATTAGTACTCACATCAAAGAACAGGGCCATGACGACAACGAGGACGACAGCAGTGTGTCGCGCACATTGCATTCTACACTTGGTAGTTGGGTGCAGGTCATCATCCATACTGGGCGTGTTGTCAACGAGCCGTCTCAAAATGTCGCATGCACGTCTCCTTGAAAAGGTGGAACCGATCCACGAAAAGCATGTTGCTAAATTATTGAAAATTGTTGTTCTTTCCTGCACTCTGATCTAAGGAGTGGGGTTTTCACTGAGTAAGTCCTTGAAGGGACCCGGTTTCTAGACCACATAGAAAGCGACCTCCGAGAGGAAATGCACAGCGTACTTGCAATAATCTCGAGCCACCGAAACACTGTATGTAGCACAAATGTCAAACGTTTGACAAGGGCTTGTTGAGTCGATCCAAATCTTGTTACATTCAGCGTGTGGGAAGAAAATGCCCCCCACCAGCGCGCGCACACTTCGTGAGCAATAACCCTACATAATTCGAGCAAGGTCCGGCTTACCTCGCTTTTGTAGCATCGGAGCCGTTGTGCCCTATCTAAGGCGGCCTATATTGCCGTGAGGCAACTGGGGTAGACCTTGTCGATGGCTCGGACGCCGCGTGTGAGAAAATGCTACGAGCACCGCGAGCAAGATTGCTCGAACCTCGCCGATTGAAAAACACGGCATCTACCGCCAGAAAGGATTTCGTCGTCGTAAGAACCACGATGACGGGCAGCAACAAATCGGCCATGTGAACGACACCCCTGAGAGTGGAGTTCTCCGGTCCCAGGGCTCCTCTCAACTCGGCCCGTTATCTGGTAGCTCGAACAGTCGAGTGGTCGGTAAGGAAAAGAAATCTCATCTCAATAAACTTGCGAAAGCGGAAGACGAAGCACAGGTTGACCCGCATTTATTTTCGAACCGGCACACATGTGGTACGAGGCTCTTTTTAGGGGCTGTTTTGACCTTGTCTCCGTTTAATGCTGTATTGGCGTTGAGATGCGGCGGAATTAGCTATTCTCCGAGATGACGTGTTGTTGTTCTTGTTGTTCTTGTTCTTGTTCTTGATGTCTTCACATTAAAAACCGTTCCGAGCTCTCTCTCTACCCAGTACCTTCGTATGTCCGTACTGATACAACACTCGACGCGGTCGATTCCCGTGGTCGCAGGCTAACTTACCCTAATAAGGTACACTCAATTAAAATGGCCCCGAGGGGTCCGCAAGTCAATAGAAATCAACGCCAGATATTTTGGAGTCCTCCACTCCCTCTGCGCGCTATGCGAGGTAACAACTGAGACTAGGGGTCACCATCACGGGCCGGAGAGAATGAGGTGCACCCCCTTGGTTCAACCTTGGTACTTCACAACGCAAGCAGAAACAAGGCCATCTGGCACAGAAAAACAGAGAAAAAGAGGACACGAGTGTGTTTGCAATAAAATGGCTCTGGGTCAACCCCATGAGTTCAGAGAAGAGAGAGCTAACCGGGCAAGGGCAAAGGTGAAGTGGGCATGTGTTGAGTACCAGTTCGACTGCAGAGATCTAGACAGAGGTTGAGTTCAGCATGTGTGTGCGTGGACAGGTTGAACAGCAACAGCAGTGTTGTTATGCAGCAGTGTCGAGTGCAGCAGCCGCCGAGAGACGAATCAACAACAAGTTTCCTCAGATACAACTACTGCTGTACAGTATCTGTCCATTCCCTTCCTCGACGACATCCGCAAAGACAATCAAGCAGGCAAGAACCTCGAACCTAGCGCAGCCTTGGTAATGCAGAGCAGCACTGTTCTGCATTTGTTTGATTGGGTAATTGGGTCATCAACAGAACCCGAATCCCAAATGTAACACACAGCAGTGTCCCAAGGTGCAACTCACCGCCGCCCTGGCTCAGCGTGGCGGTGAGGATGCACAGACGGTGGTAGTGGCGAGAGGTGTGTATGGACACTGTTCCCGCGGCAGTAATGCAAAGCGGCAAACTGCACCTGGCAAGCACCGTCGCGGAAAGCGTGGCCCACGAAGCTGGAGGAGCAGAGAGAATTGTAAACACCACATAGACACATGAGTAGAGTACCGCTCGCGGAATAAGAAAGACCGAGTGACCGAGTGCTGCACGACTAAAATAATATGAAGCTTGAGAAAAAAGCTTCCAACAGGAAAGCAGCCCCCTGTGGAAACCCTTCTGACCAGGCGGCTCGCGGCGCAACAGACCTCCACACCAGCACCCAGCACCGGCTCTGGAGGGCGAACCAGAGGCTAACTGCCCAGAAAACACGAGAGGTATGTTAACACGATACAAGGGCACAGCAGGGTATGTTTTATTCGCCCAGATACACATGGTAGGGTGAGAAATTTAGCCTTTAGCTAGAGCGTACCACACTACGGCAGCTCCAAAATCCGCGAGGAAGCTTCACACGCAAGCCGACCTCTGCGCAAGGTTGGCGTCTTGCAGCCTAACTATGCTGCCGACATATATCTTGGTCTCATTTCCACCTAATGCAAAAGGTTTGAGGCGATTTAGTGCGGTAGAAAATAAGCATGGTGTGTTCAAAATTCAAATTTCAGGAGAGCCCACGCCGCGGGGTTCGAACGCACGCCCTCGGGTGTTGCGCATGTACATCCACTGGATACACGACCCCAATCCAAAGATGGAAATGCCCGATACAGTCCGGAGGCCACAACAATTTATAGGAAATCTGGACTCCGAGAGGGCAAGTACGTCTGTCTCGAAGTTGAAATTAGACTCGGTGCTTTGCCATGGTACGAGTCAAACATTACCCGGGGCGCTCAGCTACGTACACTCCAGACCGTGCATACACAGCAGTATTATTATAGATTGAAACGCCGCAGAAATGTCGAGTCGGGCATATATTGTACGTAGATCGACAGGTTTGTGTACCCCCGTGACCATCCACGGAGGTTGCCGTGCCCACCCACGGCATGATGTCTGTCTGGGGACTATGTTAACCCAGAGGACCGATGCAGATGATATATATATTTGATTAACACACACGTGCTCTTCCAGCACGGACCGAAGTCAGTACAGGTCCTGTTTCAGTGAACATATGCGCGGGCTCTCACGAGGGGGCCCGCACTTGGACCCCCAACAGTATACCCCCCGCACACATGTTCTCTGCAGATCGGATCTTGTATCCAAGTACAAACAGCCCCCCTGCTTGATACAATATACGATCTGAACGTCCGTGTATAGTTAAAGTCTGGAAAAAATTCATGTCAAACATTCAAGAAAAAAAGAAGTTAATTATGTTAAAAGAGGCAATGTTTACATAAAAAGTACAAATAGAAATATTTTTATATCTAGGTGGATAATATTCCAACCAATACAAAAACACAAATAACCACTCGAGAAACATCCTCTACAAAACTGGTTACGTATTTAACGCAAAGCGTCTCCATCAGTTTATCCATGAACCCAATGTATTATCAAACCGTCAAACCAAAAGAATCGTCCTCAGAAGAGTACTCAACAAATATCTGCGCTACATCAGAAAAGCGTACGGTGACATACAAATCTGGAAAAACAGCTTCAGAAGAGTTGACACAACATCTTCAAACAACACAAAGTTTCAACTTCTTGACCAACTAAAACAAGCTTTCGGAAAGCACGAAGGCCCCAACCATTACTCGTCAAAACATGTCAAACCCTTCCTCCAATATAGCATCCAAGGACCAAATCCTTTAACAGCGTGCACATGCAATCGGTGCCTCAGCTGTTGTCCAAGAGACGATAGAAAACACACGCCAATATCCATGCCAACAGCCCCCATGCTGCAACATCTCCCGAAACATGCGAATTCTGTGCCACCCGTATCTCACTGGTTTTGGCACAAGACAGCAGTATCAATATCAACATCAATACGTAACAGCCCCCCAGCTGGAATATTTCCCCGAAACATTCAGATATATCTGCCTGCGCTTTCTTCCCTCCCTTTCCAACCAACAGAGGATCTCAAACCATCAAAGTGTACGAAACAGCCCCCCAACTGAAACATGCCCTGCATACATATAAAAAACGCATAGCATTCGCTGGTGTTGCGTCTGGAATCATGACAACATATTTCCTCCACCCCTGATTCTTGACGCAAAACACAGCAGAACGAAAAAAGCACCAAGAAAATCAAAACGAAACAAATCCAACTTGAACAGAACTCGATGAAAGCACTCTGCTCTGCTGGTACTGCGGCTAGAAACATGGTACACAAATCCCCCCGGCATGGCTCTTGACAGCAGTACAACCAGCAGTTCGACAGTTGTCACTGAATTTCGCATGTCACACAAATTCGGGTCCGAAACACAAGTCAAAACCCAGAAAAAAAAAAACTCAACCACAAACAAGGATGCCGTACACAGTAACGCATTGTCTCTCGGAGGCGATTCCTAGATGAATTTCTCGTCTTCGGCGCAACGGTGAGAAACCCGACGTGGAACAATAAAAAAAAAACACAAAGAACAGAACAACGTGAAGTCAACATGCCAATGCCTCCACACAAAACCCAAACAAACTCGTTAATATTTCACATGGTCTCCAATTTGGCGCAAATATGGTGAGGTCGTCGGTGCCACCATATCCTCGCCCTGCTCGTTGGGCTCGAGGGTGTCCACCGGAGCCAAATATCCGTCTTTCGCTTCGCCTTTACTCCGCAAATTTCGCTACGCCCGCCCCGCGTAAGCTTGCGCGTACGTCGCCGGCGCTCGCTGCAGGTGTGGCGCTGTGGGGGGCACGGGAGGGGTGGGCGGCGGGGAAACAGACAAGGGTAAACTCTTCCCCCGCTCGCGCGCCCTCCCATCCCTGCTCAAACTGCTGCCGGTGCCGGTGGCGCCGCTCCCGCCGTCGCTGCTGCCGAAGCCGCCGCCGCCGCCGCCGCTACTGCTGCGGCCGCTACTACCGTCACCGCTGTCACCGTTGCCGCCCCCCCCGGAGCTCTGGCCGAGGCCGTCACTCCAGCTGCCGCCGACGGAGCTCTGGCTGAAGCCACCACTGCCGTCGCCGCTCCTGATGACGCTGCTGCCGGGGACGGCGCTCTGGCCGAAGCCGTTCGCGCCGCCGCCGCCACCGCTCCCGGTGGTGCCGCTTGGTGCGAAGCATCACCCCCCAGCATGTGCCCATGCATCTCTACCTCGATCGAACGGAAGGTCCACTCCCAGCACGGGCCCCCTGGTCGCTCTCCTCCATCGGGACAGCTTCCCTCTGTCGAAGGGATACGTTGCCGCTCCATGTCAGGCCGCGCCATCTCCGCCGTCGCCGCTGCTGCTGCTGCGGCCACCGCTGCTCCGGTCCTCCTCACCACCGCTGTTGTGATCTCCCTCCTCACGCACCTCCTGCGCAAATATTCCTCCCGGGTCAAAAGGGTACGACGCGCCCCTTTCGAAACCGTAGATGCCGTCGTCTCCACCGCTGCTGCAGGTCAGACCGCCGCTATCGGCGCAAGTGTCTTGACTGCCCGGCGCCAACGCGGCAACCGGGGACGCCGCTGCTAGTGCTGTCCCCACCGCCGCCGTTGCCATCGCCGCCGCTGCTACCGTCTCGACGCCGGGCACCATCACGGCCACCAAGGGTGCCGCTGCTGCTGCTGTTCCCACCGCCCCCGTTTCCGTCGCAGCCACTGCCGTTGTCGCTCCATGCGGCGTTAGTCCTGCCGCCGCAGCTCTGGCCGAAGCCGCCGTTGCGGCCGCCGGTGCGGATGCCGTTCCACAAATCCCAATCGTTGAAGATGGGGAAGCAGGACGGATCTTATCGACATGGTTTGCTGTGGTTGATGGCACAAGTGAGGCTGCTGGCTGCCGCTGCTGCTGCTGCTGCTGCTGCGACGGTGACTGCTTGGGTTGTTGCGATGCCGCGGATGGCGAAACTACAACAACGCGGTATGGTCCGGGAATCTGCCGCATTGCTACACTCCTACTGTACCCGGCCTCCATGAGATCCAGCTCTGCGCGTTTCCACGCTGCTGCAGGTGCTACACGTGATGTCGTGGGTCGCGGGGGAGAATGAGTGGCGGGGTGCGTAACTGCGTTGGGAGAAGATACGTTGGCGGGGGCTTTCACCAGCAAAGACGCCACAAACGAACCGGCAGCAGCCCCCCCCTCCTTCTCGCCAACAAACACCCCACCACTCAACTGTCCAACCACACCACGGGTGGAGCCGGCCGCCAGCTGTTGTTGCTGCGGCTGCTGCTGAAATCCACCAGTGCTGCCATACACCACGTCTGGCTTCTGCTGCTGTTGCTGCTGCTGCTGCTGGAACACAGACCCGCCGCCAAAGCCACCGTTCTTCCGCTGCTGAAACGGTCCGCGGGCGAGGTTGAACTTGCAATACTGATGAACATGACCTTTCTCTCCACAGCAGCTGCATTGGTGCTGCTGCTCGGGAGGGGGAGCAGCGGGAGGGGGTGTGCGTTCGTTGGGCACCAGCTGCTGCTGATGCTGGTACCGGCTGTGCCCTGTAAGGACGTGGTTGTGGCGGCTGCTCTGCTGTTGCACTCCTCTCGTCACCTGCTGCTGGTGTCCACCGTACCACACATGGGGCTTCTTCCCCTCCTCTCTATAAAAAATTGATTTGGATCGATCCTTCCGTCCTTTTCAAAAAATAATCTCTCCGATCCACCGGGCCCACCCCCGGCGTGTACACCTCCTCCAGCTGCCCACCCAGCTTGACCATCTGCTGCCTTCCCAGCACTCTCTAAGCAGCGATCTTGTCCATCGCTAGTTGGACTTTCTCCCTCAGTTCCTCTACCGCCCTTGCCGCGGCTGCTGCCCTCTCCGCAACTGCTTCCTTCTCTGTAGCATGTTCATCCGACATCGGTCGAACTTATACGATTATTATCGCGTTTGTGTACCCCCGTGACCATCCACGGAGGTTGCCGTGCCCACCCACGGTATGATGTCTGTCTGGGGACTACGTTAACCCAGAGGACCGATGCAGATGATGTATATATTTGATTAACACACACGTGCTCTTCCAGCACGGACCGAAGTCAGTACAGGTCCTGTTTCAGTGAACATATGCGCGGGCTCTCACGAGGGGGCCCGCACTTGGACCCCCAACAGTATACCCCCCGCACACATGTTCTCTGCAGATCAGATCTTGCATCCAAGTACCCCAAACAGACAGCTTTCAGTCCGTCATACTCTAAGGTACACAAGCATGCCCATACAGAGGATCACATGTTATGCATGGCTGTCAAGAGACAACGAAGCGCGCCCACAGACATAGCATAGGTGTGCGCCTGCGTAGGCTGTACGTGTCGCGTGACATTTTGTAATTTTTGGTCGTATACCATGGCCAGGTATTTAATGCATGGGATAACGGCCGGCACAGGTGGTGCTGACAGATGACCCGTCGGAGAGGTAGGCGGGGCAACCGGGCTGGTGGGGCTAACAACCCCACAGGTCAACCGGCTACGCCACCGGCTACGCCACCGGCTACGCCTCGGGACCGGCCTGGGAGCTCTGTTACACCCGGAAGCGGGGGTATGCAGCCAGCATGGGACCTTCGTCAGCTTACGGAAGGCACGCTAACCCCGCGTACTCCAGTGGTCGATAACTCAGGGGGAGACGTAACAAGTGAACGTCCACGGATCAGGAGCAGGAGCGACGGCAACCTAACCACTGAGGTGCGCACCCCCCCCGCCGCGACAAAGCGCGACGCGAGATTCCGGTGCACGCGTCTGTCGGACGGGAGCAAAATCCAGGTCGGGCAGGAAGCGCAGGAATGGGCCCTCTGTTGGTGTCACGGGTGGTGGCCTACCCAATCTTGAGAGCAAACTCGAGGAGGAGGATTACTACAGACAGCTGGGCGAGGCGAGGAGGGAGGTATCGGCCCGTAAAGCTTGCGCGATTGCCGAAGACAAACGGCGGAAAGCAGAGTCCGCGGGGAATCACCCCGTTGATCCTGGGCGTAGGAGTCACGGCGGGAACCCAAGGCAAGTCGGTTATCAGCCTGGAAAGCGGAATGCGGGCAGGAGACTTTCTGCCCCAGCGGTACTATCTGTACGCCAACCAACAAGCACGAAGCGAAGAAAGGCGTGCGAGCGCATGGAATGCGGATGGGTTACAGACCACCCTGGCACCGAGTTTAGCCAATGCCGATCATCCAGCTGGTGTAGATGCGCCATGGCGTAGGCCTTGAGATGGGAGGGGTAGGTGCCACGGAGGCGCTTTCCGGAACCGAACCACTCGTTCACTTTCGAAACGGAAACGACCCTACCCCTGGCGTCGAGCGGCAGCGAGGGCCAGATATCGGCGAGGCGGAGCTCTCCGTGATACATTTCATCGTTTGGGCGAAGAAGTACTGGGGGAAAAGCTTCGACAAGTGGATCGTTTCATCGGTAGACACGGACCTATGGATGATAATTCTACTGCCGATGACCACTGATGGGCTTCGGCCTCGTGGCGAGGGGGCGGTTGACGTGACCATCCAGAAGGTCGTGGGTGGCGAGACCAAGTTCCTGTGGATGAACAGAGTATTCGCCAGCATCTGCGAGCTCCAGGACGGAACCGAGTCCGCGTGGCCGCTAGTGACCTTCAGGAGCTGGTTTCCCACGGACAACGACAAGGTCCGTCTGTTCGTCCTAACATTCCTGGAGTCGGGCTGTGACTACCTCCCGGCAATTTCCGGGCTGCCGTTCGACAAGATGTGGGTACTGGCCCTCAAGAGCGTGCGGACGGAGATTTTGTTTGACAAGCCGCTGTTCTTCGAGGAGCCGGATGGCACGTGGGCCATGCATGTCGACGAATGTGCGAAGCTTGTGGCGACCATGTTCTTCTACAAGGATGAAGCGGCGTTTGGCACTGCTCATTTGACTCCAGCCCAGCTGGTCGAAAGTGTTGACGGCGACGTCGAGGGCTACGTGAACGTGATCCGCTACGCCATCCTCCAACTACCCAAGAAGAAGACGACAGCCACTTGTCCATCATTTTTTTCCTTGCGCAAGCAGGCAGAACGAGGTAACGCCATCTTCCAGTACTGGCAGCATGACCTGAGGGAGACCATGCCGGCGACAGAGTTTGCCGGCCAAGGATGGAGCGTCGACCCAAGAGGAAAGGGGAGCGACGGCGACGAACTTACAAAGGAGAACTGCGTGCTTGAACTGTCCGAGTATGCTTACATTGCTCCTGACCGAAAGACAGTCAAGCTAGCGTGTGGTTTCAATCCTGACACAGCCCTGTGCACCAGGTGCAGGTGCAAGAACAAGAAGTGCTCGCTCGCTTGCGGCTGCAGAAATCGTTGCACCCTACGGCGGGCGGCGGCGGCACCCGTGCGTGCAGGGGGGAGGTCTGCGTCGCGGCCTACGGTGGGTGCTTCTCAAACTAGGCGGGTAGAGGGTACCTCCCGACCCCAACCACCCATCGAGAGTCGACCACAGCCATCCGACAGTGTTGCCAATGCCATGGCACTCTTTGCCGCCTCGATGAGGCAGCAGGAATCGCATGGAGCGGAACAGAACGACGTGGAGGCGGGATCCCCCGAGTCGCCTGCGAGCAAGGACGTTTCCGCCGGCGAGGCCGCGGAATCTAAGCGCGCACAGTTGGGGGACCCCGAGTCGGACGAGAAGTGCGACGGTTCGGTCGGTGCACTCGACGATTTGATCAAGTTGGATTCGAGCGAATCTGGCTCCAGCGATGGGGAACCTGACGGGGTGAGCGAGAAGAGCGTCGACTCCAACTGGGGTGACGGAGAAACAGATGATGATGGTGTTGCTGATCTCGTAACCGACGCCTCGAACTGAGATCTGGCTACTTCTTCAGGCAGGTACCTATATCGTTCCTTGGGATTGGGATTGGGGATGTGGTGCCCGGCATTGTTGCACGTCAGATCTCCACGTCGTACCGACAGATCGTGTGGTCATATTTATTCTCCATATTTTGATGACACTTTTCGCGCGTCCTTGTTGGTGGTTGAACAGGTCCGTCCGTGCTTTGCTTCCGTTGGATGCATCCGTCCACGAAATACGACGACCCCCGGGGTACGAGATATCAGACGGGCGAACAGCGCGCGCGTTTTCTCCCCTGTATTTACCTATCCAATTGCGCAGGGAGGTGGACGGGGGGGACTATTTTTCGGCCGCGCTGGGTGTCCGTTGTTTATTGGCATGGTAATTGGTTAAACGCAAACTGCCTGAAAGGTACAGGGGTGCTGTGTGCGTTCCGGCCCTGCCTGTGTCGTTTGTACTGACTGCAAGTAATGTGTTTGTTGTTTTCTTCAGTTCGGGCATGATGTTGATAAGTGTGGGCAACCCGGGGGGGGCAGTCTTGTGTGCAGTGTTCGTGTGTAAGTATTTCCTCGCGTTTTCGACACACCCAATGCTCAGTGCGTACAATGTATTCGTGGGCTTTGAGAAAAAATACGTCAACAATTATAATGTGTACATATTGCCGGCCGTGCGTGTCTGCGTGCAACGTCAGCTAGCACAAGGTTATCAGTGATCAAGTTCCCTGTTAGTGTAGCTGCCGTGATACTGTCGCTACTCCATCCTCTCATAGTTTTTTTCTCCGGGATTCCGGAGATTTGTACTGCTGGGTGGGGGGCCCCAGTCAACAAGCACAAGTCAGAAGTGTGTGCGGTGCAACACCACAGCAGGAGAGGGGGGCACCTCAACAGCAATTTCAGTTCAAATCTAGCTGACGCCATTCAAGAGTACTCCACGTGTAGCACGTCTTGCAGCAAAATTCCAAATGCTGTACAACCGCAAGACTAGCAGCTAACATTACCAATGCTCGGTGTTGCCGGCGGCGTGGCAGAAAATAATCATGGTGCCTGTATGTTAGTGCAATTTTTCAACTTCATCTGTGTCTACCTCTTGAATCTCGCCACCAATCAAGTTCAACCCTTCTGCAATATACTCTATGGTGCTCAGTCCATCTTCCCTCAAAAGTTGGTGGCGATTGATGCTGTCGTGGGCGCGTTCTTGTGCTTGATCGCTTTGGCGGGTGCACAGCAGAGTGGTTGCGCCGCGTAGAAACGAGTCTCGCATTTTTTTAGGGGAGGATTTGCGTGTTGCGCCGACAAGTTTGAAGCCTACAGCGGCCGGAATTTGGCAAAGCTTGGTTCCATAGATAGCTACTGGAATAGTCTACTGCTGTAAACCTTTAACCTTGGGTGTATGTACGCCGGTCGCGCCACTCTTCTGTGTAAAACGATAAAAAGAAATGGTTCCTCCGCCATTTTTTTTTTTTCAGTTTTGCAGCGCTGAACGGCGGTCACCGCGGCGAGGGAGTGCTGCACCCTCCTCGTCAAAACACCACAGGCAAGAACCGAGCTCTGCAGAAATGGATTGATGCGAGGAAATTCGCCGCTCGGAAAATACGGAAGAAAGCTCACCCGCAACGCGAGGCGGACCGAGAGAGACACGAGACCGCAGCGGCCGTCAAGGCGGCTGCGAAGAAGAAGGCACAAGAGGTCGACCTATCGTTCGGCACGTTCAACGTACGCACGCTCGCCTACAGCGGTAGGAACCCCATCGGTCACAACGTGATGACGGTCATGCAGATTTGTTCCGCGACCGGCTGTGATGTGATAGGACTTCGGGAGACCCGACGAGAGGGGCAAGGTTCAATTGCACACGACGGGTACGTGATCATCTGGAGTGGCGCCCGTGCTGGCACCAAGGACAAGAGGGGCGTACACGGTGTGGGCATAGCGATCAAGGAGGCCATGTGGGAGAGTGTGGGCGAGGAAGGTAGGACGGTGGCGTGCATTAGCCCGAGGCTGATGAAGGTGCGTCTACAAATTGGCCGCACCTGCGGAGTAACTTTCGTGGTGGGGTACGCCCCCACGGAAACTGTCCGCGCCACCGCGGGCGGTGATGTTACGCCAAGGACTCCTTCTGGAATGCTCTCGACGCAGTGATCCGGGAGTTTCACAGCCGTGACCATCTCGTGGTGGTAATGGACGCCAACGCACGCACTGGTAGGAGGCGAGGCGGGTGCTGCGATGCCAATATTATGGGCGCGTACGGACGCGACATTATGAAGAACAACGGGGAACGACTCCTTGGACTGGCATCAGACAACCAACTCTCCCTGACCAACACCTACTTCCGGACACCGAAAGGTGGAGTGCAGCACACATTCCAGAGCTCCAACAAGGGAAAGGAGAAGTACCGCCTCGACTTCATCCTCATGCG